CCGTCGGCGGCGCGAAGCTCCGAGGGAATGCTGAGATAGCTGCGCCGCTGTCCCAGTTGAACTTCATCCAGTCGTCCTGCGCGAAGGGAGAGAGATCGACCGCCGCTACGCCGCGGCCGCTGCCGCTGGCGAGCTCCAGGCAGTCCAGGCTGCCCATGTCCAGAGCGGCGACCTCCGCTTCAGGCTCCTCCTCCAGGCTGCCTGCAGCCTTGCCGCCGGCCTTGCCGCCGCGGCTACCGGCTTTACCACCAGCGCTTGCCCCCGTTGCGGATCCAGTTCCAGCCCTCGAACTCGATCCCTGCTCTTTCTTCCAGCAGTCGGATGCCTTGTGGCCCCATCTCTCGCAGTTCCGACAGTAGCCGTCGAAGCGCCCGCTGGTGTATCGAGGTGCCGTGTGCCCTGAACCACGGCCCGAACCCGTCGGGGATGTGCGGGAGCCTGAGTATGATCCGTTCGTCGATTTGCTCTTCCCCTTCGGCTCCTGAGTCTTGCCTTTCCCTTTGCTCTTGCCGTCCTTGCCCTTGCCTTTGCCTTTGCCCTTCGGGGCTCCGAATGACCCGACGTCCATGTCGTCCGGATGATGCGCCCGCGCACGGATCGATGGCTCCTTGATCTTCACGCCGGTCCGAGCCTCCACGATCGTCATCACCTCGTTCAGACTGTCCTGGAACGTTTCGAGCCGATGCTTGTTGAGGACGAGGTGGTTCTCGATGTCCTGAGGCACGAGCATCTCGAGAGCCGCCATCTTGATATCCTCCGGCAGCTCGGCTAGACCATCTTCTCCTTGGCGGCGTTCGTACCTGCCTATCTGCTGGATCCACTTCTCTAAGGCGGATCCCAGCTCGTCCGCGCTGCACTTCGGAGGCGAGATGATCGACCTCAGGATCAGCCTCTTCCTCGGACCTGTCGTCGGATCCCACCTGCGGTGGAGCTTCCGCCAGGCTTCGAGACCGTTCCCATCGGGAGCGCCCGTCACGAGGTCGTTGCTCTCGCTCCCGTCCGCCGTCGTGCTGATCAGCGCCGCGTACAGCTGGTTGACCTTTGTCTCCAGCTCTGGCACTCCGTCGTGCGCCGCCTGAGCCCCCGCGATTGTCACGGGGCGTTCGGCTTCTGCAGCCCACCGAAGAACGGGACGAAAACTCTCTCCGTACACGCCGATCACGTAGTTCTCCATTTTGCGATTCCAAGCGCCGAACTTCTCTTGATCGTCGCCCATCGTCGTGGGCTTGCCGATCCCCTTCGTGTCGACGAGACCGTGAGCGGCTGGGCCCATACTCGACGCGCCCCGGATCTGCTCGCCCATCCGCTCGATCGCCTGCGGGATTGCCGCGAGGCCTCCTGCCACCTGCTGCTGAAGCCGCTGATTCTCGCTCTCCAGCCTCCTCATCTCGTCGGCGGCCTGGCCTATTTGAGCCGCGAACTCCTGCCTCAGCAGTTCGAACTGCTGCCGAACCTGCTCGTCCATGCTTGACAGCGTGTCTCTCGGCGAGCTCCTCCCGGCTCTCTGCTATCTCCTGCCTCGTACGCTCGAGGTCCGTGATCCTGCCGAGGACTTCCTTCTGCGCTCTCTCGACGACGTCTGATGAGTTCTCCGAAGGATGGTCCTCGATGTGCGCGAGGTCACTGAGCTTGTTGCCAGTCTCCCTCAGGTCGTGCTTGTACTGGAGTACCCTGCGCCTGGTCTCGATCGCCGCCTCACTCCGCTTGCCGCGCCTGCGGCCGCCTTTCCCGGCCCCTGCCGGTCGCTCGGTCGCTGCCGAGCTTGCCGCGATCGATGCCGCCCTCTTCCAGCCTCGAGCCTCCTGCCGGCTCGCCGTGGCGCCCGCGGCCGCGGCGCGCCGAGGCCTGGGTGGGGTCGGCAGCAGTGAGTGGCCAGCTCACGCTACCATGATGAGATAATATGCCGATGTACTGCAATATCTCCTTTTCATCTTGAGCCAAAATAGGCGCACAGAGGAGGGTGTCAGAATCAAAACCTACAAACCCACAAACACACAACACACAAACACACAATCACAGAAACACACAGGCACCCAAACACACACAAACACACACAAACACACAACACGCAAACACAAAACGCACAACCACACAAACACAAACACAAGCACAAACACACACACAACCACACAACCACACCACATACACACACTACGCAGTGCTGGCAACGTTCTGTCAATTTGCGTTGGTTTTTGATGGGGATGGTGTGGGGGTCGGCATATTGGGAGATGTGTGCTGTGAGGTGCGCTGGCGCACCTAGCGCACTTTGCGCGCGACGCGCATGTGGCGCACCTGGCGCGTGACGCTCCTGGCACGCGTGGCCTCCTTCGCGGGCGTCGCGCACCTGGCTGGCGTCTGCGTTGCTTTCCTATGGTTGCCGATGGCGGCCCTTGCCTGTGATGAGACTCGTTTGCTCATACTGTTAGTGAGAGGGCGGGTGGGAGTAGCGAGACGGCTTGCGGTGTTCACGCTGGAACCTTGATCACTGCTCCCTATCAATACACACCCCCTCCCCCACCCAACTGCCATCCCGTACCCATGACCACCGGTGCGCGTGGGGCGCCTGGCACGCGTGGCTCAACTGGCACGCGTGGCGCACCTCGCCTCAGCGTGGCGCACCTCGGGTCTATATTGGTTCGCAGCAGCTGTCTATCCAAAGACGACCGCTGAATACGTTTAGACTTGGGTACTGCTGATATGTTGGGAGGGCGGGTGGGAGTGAACTAAACAGTTTGCGTGTGAGAGAGGTGTCTTTTCATGTATTTTTGGGAGGGACGGCGGGGGTGCCCTCGTACACTGCTTGCTGCGGGCAAGCCCATCCCTCTCAACAGAAGGTGCAATGTACAATTTGCCTGCAAATCTGGAGCATGCACGCCGGCTCCGCGACCACTTTGCATTGGTTTTTGACAGGGGCGCATGGGCCCCACCAGGATACCTGGCGCACCTGTAGCCCGTGGCGTACATGGCATGCGTGGCGCTCCTAGGCGATATGCTGAGACTCGGGTGCCACTGATGCGTTGGGAAGGCGGGTGGTAGTGAGCGAGACAGCTTGTGCCTTGTGGGCGCGAGGTATCTTGCACCCTCCCCCTATCCCCATACCCCGGGTCTGGAAGGAGCCTACGGGTTAGAGCGCGCACGATGGCTTAAGATGGCCCCATATACAGTCGTGCATCTGGAAGAACACCCAACAAGGCACCCAAGGGCTTTTCTGGCCACGGCTAAATCATGAATAGGCTCCGGGACCTGTATCTAAAGAGCGGTGAGAAAAATCATAGACCCTCCTGGGCCCGAAATGGTTCATATTTCATCGTCTTCGCTTTAGCCCTGGGTATCCTCAATTTGGTCACGACATGGCTCACTCAATCTGTGAAATCTATGCCTCCAAGAGGTCCCAAAACGTTTCCAAGTGGCTACGGAGCCTCCCAAGGATGCCCCGACAGGCCCACCTCCTTCAAACACCTGAGGAACACACGCACAAACGCATGTGTGTGTATGTGTGTGTGTGTGTGTGTGTGTGTGCGCGTTCTCACCTTTTCGTATCCAATGGGCACTGGAGGCCCCAAGATCGCTTAACAAATTCTTGAGAGGGGCCTTGAAACAGTACGACCCCAAGAGCGCGCCCGAAGACGGCTTGAACATGCGATGTTTCGACATCCGAAGCGGGGGGGGGCGCAATGAAGCCCCCTTCTTCGATCGATGTCCTCCAAGATGGCCCTAAGAGGGGACCCAGAGAGCCCCAAGAGCGCCTTTGGGGCCGCCAGGAAGGCTCGAAGACAGCTCCACTTTGGCTCCAAGACTCCTCCAAGTTGCTCTGAGAGATCACCATTGTTGTCCTCCTTGCTCCGCTGGATGCTTATCTACGTCCTTTCTTTCGACAAGATGCATGGGCATCGTTTCTGTATTTGCTTTTTGGGATGCGCGAATCATCAAGAATTCCCAAGGCGGGGCCTGCGAAGCCTCCAAGACAACCCAATGTGGGTCCAAAACGGCTCCAAGACCCGACTCGGCGATCCCAAGATGGCTCCAACGGGTCGCTCCGGTAGGGCTCGGTAGAACCACCACGCCGAAATATGTACGGCCTCAAGACGCCCAAAAGGCTCCCAAAAGGCCCCAGGAAGGGCTCCGGGTCCCGCGCCAGTTCACCCAGGGCATCGAACAAGAGCTGGTCTTATAGAGTGCGGAAGGCGGAATAGCCATCCTCATAACAAGCACCCCTACAAGCGAAGCCCTGCAGTAAACGCACCTGGGGAAGGAATCGAGCAAGGCAGGACTGTTCAGTAACCGCCCAGGACGGCGTAGAAAACGCCAATGATGGGGGGATGGCGTGTTCTTTCCTCCCTTGATCTTTTAACCGGGGCAATGCGCAACACAGCTGCGTAGACATAAATTTTCGGAGGTCCGCGCGCATTTATTGGATCGGCGCAGGCCCCCCCGTCGGCGCCTCTGGCGCCGATCCGAGCAAGCCGGGCGGAACTGAACATCTACAGTGCGGGCGCGGCCGCAAGAAACCCTCGCAGGAAGCTCAACCCTGAGAACCCGTGCGCGAGGTGCACCCGAGGGGGACACCTGGAGCACCCTGAAGGCAGCCGCTCCTCCCTCGGCTGCGGGAAGCCACCGCGCAGCGCGCGGAGCGAAGAAACCCAGGATACCCTGACGAAAGGCAGATGGTTTCTTGACGCGCGCCCCCCACTGTACACCCTGCGAAATGCTTAAGAAATCATGGGTTAAGAAATTCATAGTCTCAGAACTTGAATAACAATCCAACGTTTATATTATAATCTTAGGATTTGCATTGAAACGTTAAGAACAATCGAGACTCTGGCCGAAAACTTAAGTTTTCTTAAGCATCGCCTAAGGTGTATGTTTGCCCCCGCTGTGCTGCTGCGCTGGCGCGGAGGCGGTGCTTGGCCCCCGCGGCCTGGGCCTCGCCCGATGTCGGCTCCGAAGCTGCGCGCGTGGAGGCGTGGCGGTGTGGACACGTCCCCTCCCCCAAAAAGAGCGGCCGCAGTTCTACAGGTACAGAAGGGCGTCCCTCCTCCTCGTCCTCCTCCCTCTTCTTCCGTTGCCCCCTGCCGTTCGCCTTTCGCCCCCCCCCCCCCCCCCCCTCTCCCGCTCCAGGTCTTCTTCTTCGAACGTCGGGCAAGGCCCCACTTCCCCTCTCCTCGTCGTCCTCGCCCCGCAATTCCACCTCCGAGCCAGGAGGCGGGTCCCGCTTTCCGCTCCTCCTCCTCCTCGTCGTCGTCCTACCGTCCTCCTCATTCTGAAACCTCCTCGTCGTGCCCTCCTCCCCCTTCTCCCTCCTTCTCCCCCCCGTTCCCCCTGAAACGAAGAGCGCTTGCCCCGGTTGCCAAAAAGGGGGCATCAACTTTCACCCAGAGCCGTTTCTTCGCCTTCCTGGGGCCCTGGAAGGGCTCCGAGGGGCCGAAAACGGTCCACGGGACCGAAAACCGCGGGGAACATCCATGAGTCCTTTCCCCGAGAACCCCCCTCTCTCATGGCGACCCCCCTCTCCTCCTCCGCCCCGTCCTCGCACTCCCCCCTCATCCTCGTCCATCCTCCCCCGCCTCCTTCTCGCCCCCCCTCTCCTCCTCGCCGTCCCCCCCCGCTCCGCCCCTCCCCCTCGGCGACGACGACGGCGACCGCGCCGACCTACCTGGCCGACCGACCGACCGACCGACTGAAAGAGAAAGAACCGACCGTCGACGACGACGACGACGACGACGCTAACGACGCTAACGACGACGACGACGACGGCCACGACGACAACGCCCTGGGCAGGCGGCGTGGGCGCGCGACGCCTCACGTCTCAAAGGGCACCACGCGCGAGGTCGTGCCGCGCGGTGTGCCTCCCCGGGCCCGGCGCGCGCGCCGCTCGCAGGGGCACCCTTCGGGCTCGGCGGCCGTGCCGCCCGCGGCGGCGGATGGGGAGAACTGCGAGGCGGCACGCCCTCGGAGGTCCACGGACCCGGGTCAGTCCAGACCCGGGGCAGCCAAGCTTTGCAGGATCCTGCAGGATCCTGCACCCCAAGCCCAGGTCAATGAAACCCTGGCTCTGCAGGATCCTGCAAGATCCGGCGCTCTGACCGACCCCCCGTTTGCATTGACCCCCGTCTCTTGAGCCACGACGCCCGCGGCATTTCTCCTCTCCAGGGGGAGGCCACACCCCCCCCCCACCCCTCGACCGCTTTCGGCCCCAGAGCCCACTTCGACCTCCCCCCTCGCCTCCACCTGGTCCCCACCCCGCCCCCCAGCCAGGACTCCCACTCCCGACCTGCTCGCCATCGTTCGGACGTCCATTCCCCGTGCATTGTTCGGCTGCGTGCGCATTTGTTTCGCAAGATGGCCCAACATGCTCCTCGATGGTCCTCGCCGAGAAAAGCTGCACACGTCCGAGCGATGCCAAGCCTGGTGATCCAGGGGGTGCTGAGGGTGGAGATGGGGGTGGGATTTGCCCCAAAGGACCACCACCTTACTCCCAGCCAGTACCCCCTGGATCACCTGGTGGGGGTCCTGGCTGGGGGTGGGCGTGGGTTGTGTTGCTCTCATCTTGAGGGGTCACTGACCAAACTGCCGGGTCTGCGAGTGGGAAGTTCCTGGGGTGGGTCATGGCTGAGCCGAGGAATTTCCAGTGGGTGTCACCCATTGCTCGGGGCGCGCCCCAACTCGCAGAAGGTCACTGACCAAACTGCCGGGTCTGCGAACGTGCCGCCACTGAGAAGTTCCTCAAGTGAGTGGAGGGTAAGCCGACGGACTCCCAGTGGGGGACACCCATTGCGTCGGGCGTACCCCAACTCGCAACCTGTTGTGGAGGTTGCTGGATCGGAGCCCGCCCTGGCCATCAGCCCCTCAAGAGCTTTGCGTTACTAGCCTGGCACGTGCAGCTGGCACGTGCCAGCAGAAGGGCAGGGGAATAGGGGAGGAGGGGGGGAGGGAGGAGGGTGAGGGAGTGGAGGGCGAGAGGAGGAAGGAGGGGAGGGAGAGGGGGGCGGCAAGCTAGGTGCGCCCGCGTCATATTTGATGTCCAAACCCTTCCACCCATTCCTTACAATTGCGTAGAGCCCCTGTTTGTTCGCATCATCGGGTGTCGACGAACACATTGATCCCGAAAGGGTAACCACCGCACAACCGAGCATGGCAGAGTATGGTGTAGGTGAGCACGGCAGAGCGTTGCATGGCGTTGCATGATGTGGCAATGCGTAACCAAGCATCGAATGTCATAGCTTTGCATCGTGGCGTAGCAAGGCATGGCATCACACAGCGGTGCAGAACATGAAGCTACTTTGAATGCCATGCCATGGCGCTGTACAGTATAGCACGTCATAACATTGCGTAGCCAAGCCTTGCATACCCAAGCACTGCAGAGCAAGGTTGGGCATCGCATAGTGGCTTCGCATAGCGGACATGACGACACTTATGCAACACACACACACACACCTTTGACAAGGACAACACGGACATGAGACCATCGCCACAATGGGAACACTGTGTTCGATTACCTAAAGCGCGTCGGGAGGCCAACACTACAGCGGGAGAAACATCGAGAAGGACCGGGAGCGCAGAACTGAGGCCTCTGCTGCAACAGAAACAACATTTGAAGGACCGAGCATGCGGACATGCAGCCAGTGCTGCAGCGGGAACCCGATTCTGGAAGGGCCGAACAAAAACACGTACGGACTGGAACGCACACGTATGGATTCTGATCTTTTTCGGAAGCCTTGCATCCAATCCAAAAACAGCGGAGGGCGGCCCGATCCTCTCAGCACGTCCTCGGCGGAGAAGGCGAGTGGCACTCTTGGGCGCGAACCGAAGGGGGGCAATCACTGGGGGGGAAGGAAGGTGCCCTCCTCGGGTCGGGCCCTGGAGCCCCCCCGTTGTTGGCCCCAGCAGGCCCCTTCAGGGGCCCTGGCGGGCCCCTTTTCAGCAGTCCTCCTCCTCCTCCTCCTCCTCCTCCTCCTCTAACTCCACCTCCTCTTTCTCCTCGTCCTCCTCCTCCTCGCTGCCCCCTCATTGACCGCCCCCCCCCCCCCACAACGCGCCCTCCGATGGTTGCTCACATCGTGTGCGGGCGCAGGCGGAGCCCTCGAGGGGCCCCCTGGGTGGCCGGGCCCTCCTGCGCGAGGCGCGCGTATCCATCACCGCCGCCTGGGGGGGATCGCCCTGCGGGGACCTCGGCAGGCGTTGGATACGCCTACACTTCGCCCCCCCAGCGCCACTGGATTCCCCACGCAGTGCTTGCGTGCAGGGTTTCTCACTTGCCTGACAAAAGAGTCGAGCTGGACGCTGGCGAGGCATCGCCACGTCGCCGCCCGTGGCCGCCTCGTGCGCCGGGTGGGCCCGGCGAGGTTTCGTCACGATGCCGCCCGTGGCCGCCTCTAGCTTGGACGGAGGCGGAGGCGGAGGAGGCGGAGGAGGAGGAGGAGGAGGAGGAGGAGGAGGAGGGAGGAGGAGGAGGAGGAGGAGGAGGAGGAGGGAGGAGGGAGGAGGAGGAGGATAGCTTGCACCACATAGCTCTCAAATTCACAATGCAATAATTCACTGTTTGGGGCCCACGCTGGCTATAACATCCTGTTCTTGACGTACTCACCGAGTGTTGGGTGCTGGTCAGTGGTCCCTGACTTGAGCATCGTTTAACCGATCCCCATCCCCACCAGCGCAAGCTGGGCCCCACTGGCCGATTCACCCCCCTGATGGGGAGATAGGCTGCTCTCTTCGGGTTCCAAGGGGCATATCCCCAACCGAGGTGGTGAGACGGCGGGGCTCGAGATGTGGATGGGGATGGGGACAGGAATCGGTTAAACGATACTGATGATTAACTCTTTCTTGGGCATCAACGAGCATGGCCATCCTGCCCGGGCCGCATCCGACCGAGCACCCTCGATCCGTGCAGTGGTGGGGTGCAGCACGTGCAGAGCTACTCGGGGCGCGCAGACATGGATCGGGGGAGGTGCCCTCCCCATAATGCGGCCAATGCCGCCCCGTTCGGCGGCAGAAATCCGCAATTTCCCATGGAAACGGGACCCGGCGCTAATCCACGGCCCCTTGATCCATGTTTGCGATCGCCGACGCTACAGCGACACCAAAATGTTTGTGAAGGAGGCCCCCGCCCGTACGCGTGGCTGCCTTGCCGTCGAAGCACGGCCATAAGAACGCGAGCCTCAAGAAACATTAGCCCCGAATGCCCAAGGCCTCACTGTTTTAGTTTTTTCTTTTTTCTTTTACAGATTTTCACCCAAGACGAATCGCATTCCCAAGTGGAGGGCCGAAGTACGGGTTGGCAGAACTGCACCACTACAAAGCTGGCGTGGCTCTATATCGTCGTGCCAACTGTACGGCTCACGGCTTAGGATCTTTCACTTCAAACACCGATCAACCAACACTCGAAAGACCCGAAATACCTCCCTCCGCTTCCACCTCCCCTCCCCCCTGCTGGCCAGCCGCAACCGGGGGGAAATATGTTCCATATCCCCCGCCCCCCCTGGGGGAAACCGTCGTTTTGACGATCTCTGGAGGGCTTCGGAAAGAGGGGAAAGGGCCACAGCCCCGAAGCGATGGCTGGTCTGGCGGAGGAGGCGGACCGAGATCCCCTGACGCTGTGACGCAGCGCAGCTCCCCAAACGTCTCCACCCCTCTCCCCAGGGACCTCTTCCTCAACACGGGCCGCTTCTTGACGGCCTCGGGGCCCGCCGAGGGGGAGGGGGAGGGGGAGGGGGGGGGGAGGGAGGGGGAGGGGGAGGGGGAGGGGGATGGGGTGGGAGGGGGGAGGAAGAAGAGGAGGAGGAGGAGGGGGAGATGACGGGAGATGACGGCGAGAGGCATCCGACGGGGGCCCGACAGACGCTCGCGATGCCCGCACGGGCGGAGACGGAGACGGAGACGGAGACGGAGGAGGAGGAGGAGGAAGGAGGAGGAAAAGGAGGAGGAGGAGGAGATGGAGAAAGAGGAGGACCAGGAGGAGGAGGAGGAGGAGGAGGAGGAGGAGGAGAAGGAGGAGGAGGAGGAGGAGGAGGAGGAGGAGGAGGAGGAGGAGGAGGAGGAGGAGGCTTCTCCCAAGACGTGATGGGGGTCGTGCGGCGGCGGCGCCCCGCTCAGGCGTGGGCCGACCCAGCTCGGCGCTGAACCGGCCCGGCCAATGTAGAAACACCTGCGCTGCGCAATTGTTTCTGGTGGCGGGGGGGGGGTGCCTCTTGGTGGCGCGCAGAGGGGGATATGGGGGAGTCGGGAAGGCTTCTCGGGAACACCCGGCTTCTCTGAAGACGCGGGCCTGACCTATGGATGTAGTTAAGGCCCGCGCTTTCTGAGAAACAGGATGCTGCCAACCAGCCTTCCCTCTGCCCCTGCCCCGTTCTGCGCGTGGCTGAATGGGCTTGCTTCCCAAACCCGGCTCAGGCAACACGCAAGGCTACTAGTAGGTCGGGCATGTCCCCCTACAGGCGGATTTTGAACGAAGAATGAAACAGATTCAACAAGTTCTCAAACATAGTCTAGAGATACTCAAACATCGTCCCCAGAGTATTTGTTGAACTATCTTTGAATATTCCTCCTGTAGAGGGGCACGCCCGACTTAACTCTAGAGGAGCAACAAAAAGGCGGCACAACCATGATTTCTCGGAGGGGGAAATGAGAAGGGCCGGCCTTCCGAGAAGGCCCAGAAGTCATCGAGCCTTCCGAGATGTTTCCTCAGCCTCCCCCGAAGACGCAACCTTCTGAGAAGGCCTGCTCCTCCTCCCTCCCGCCCCCCCCTCGCTCGCCGCCGCGCTGGACCTCCGAGAGACGCCGCCGGACTCCGACGGCCCCGACGCGCGGCGGCGGCGGCCCCGCGGAGAGGCCCCGCCGATGCGCCGCAGCGTCTCCATGATCTGGCTGGAGCGGCGCCTCGCCGAGGCCTCCGCCTGCGGGGGGGGTGTCCGCGGGAGGCCGGCCGTCGACGATCCCCAGGGCCGCGGCGACGAGCGGGGTGCAGCACAGGCGCGCCTTCCCGAGACAGCCGGCCGTGGGCCCCGGGGGTCTGCACCGCTTCCCCCGAGCACAGGCTCGTCGCTCCGAGTCCCGGGGCCCCCTCGCCCCCCCCCCGAGGCCCCAAACGGCCCCCAGGCTACAAGCTCCAATCCTCTTGGGAGCGTCGGCCCTCTGGCATTGGCTCGCCCCCGCAGTGCGCAACGCCCGCCGGCGGTGCGATTTGCTCACGTCGGGCCTTGTTCCCTGATTCGGCTCCGGGAGCCAGGGGGCCGCTCTCTCTCGGGCCCCGGGGCCACCAAGAGGCCAAGAGGGCATCTGGGGCGAGGACCCCCCCGCCTCCCCGGGGGGGGGGGCGGGAGCTCCGGGGCCGCGCACGGAGAAATACGCAGTGACCGAGCACAACGATGTTTGAAACGAAATGTCGTTTACAACGAGCAACGACACGAGACCAACGTCTAACACGAACGTTGCAAACGAAGCTGGTGCCATACGGAAGCGAAGGACGGCGCGGGACGTCAAAACAACAACGAGCACGAAACGAACCAGCAACGAGCAACAACACGAACAGCACAACCAGGGCCCAAACCGAGCTGAACAACGTGTGTTGCTGGTCCGAGAAATATCCCGTCGGCGGGCGTCAAAGAGGGGGGTTCAGCGGTGGACAAACCTCCCTTTAATAAACCTCCCCTTAGTGAAAACGGCCTGGGACCCAAACCGGCGGACCTGGACCCGCAACAATGACGGCCGCGACGCCCTCTCGCGAACCGAAAACGGCCCATTCCTTAATCGACGTGTCAGGGTAGGAGGTCTATTCATCCACCTCCGACAAAGAGGGGGGTCACCAGCTGGAGCGGCGCTCCTCTGTCGCCTCCGCCTGCGGGGGGGTCCGCGAGGCGGGCGTGGACGACCACGGCCGCGACGAAGTCGCCGTCTCGGAGGGCCCCGGTCGTTGTCCAAGAGAAGAGCAGCCCTGCGGCCCACGCCGCGAAGCGCGGCCGCGGCAGATTGGCCGTCGCGATGACGTCGGTGGGTGTTGATTGCAGTCGCCAGGAGGAGGAGGAGGAGGAGGATGAGGAGGGGGGGAGGAGGACCAGGAGGAGGAGGAGGAGGAGGAGGAGGAGGCGGAGGAGGAGGAGGAAGATGAGGAGGAGGAAAAGGAGGAGAGTGTCGATGACGTCGGTGGGTGTCAGTGGATGACCTTTTGGATCGCTCAACCTGGAGATCGTTAGGCATCGACTGCCTTTTGGGCCACTGGAGACGCTCCATCTTAGTCTTAGATCGTTATTTCGACTTCGACCGACTCCGGGTCACTGGCGGCGTTCGACCTTCTATTAGAGGCCTCCAGGATGGGTAAGATTGGATGGAACTTGACGATCGCATCGCATCGTCGATGCAACTCCGATGCATCCGGCGAAGTCGGCGACGTCGGCGTGCGAACATCGGGCTCCACATCGAGCCGCATCGCCGATGCATCTGCGATGCGGCGCGATCCTCCGACCCTATCTGCTTGGAGCCCATCTGCATCTGAGAGGCTTAGATGAACGCCCGCACTAGGGCCGAACGCGGCGCCGACCTAAAAACCGTGACTTTGCGATTCTGCGGGTGGAGAAGGCTGCCAGCGAGCGACTGTCGCACTCTCTCGCCCCACACCGCGCCCCTGAATCGCCCTACAAATTCTGTCGGGGAGACTCAAGACTCGGGTTCGGGGGGCTCGGTTTGTCCTGACGTGCCATCACGACAACGCCGCGACCCAACTTGAAATTTGACGCGAGCTCCCGCCGCAAGCACCCCACGAAAACCATACCGCCAAAATCCAGGACGCGCTCCTCACAAAACGTCGGCAAACCCGAGTTCCGGCTTAGTCGAGTCTCACGTTTCCCCAGTTTTGGGCCAGCCAGGAACTCCGCCTCTTCGGGGAGGGTGGTCCAGCGAGTCAGCGCCGACCCACGAAGTCTGCGCTGGCCTCGGAAACATTACCATCATAAGGTCGGACCTAGGACATTAACACATCCTGCAAGAACATGAGACCCCCCGCCGGCCAAAACATCCCAAACCACAAGATCACTCGAGAGCACCTTCTCCCAATATGCACAAACACATTCAACAAACACGAAAAACATTAGGACATACCCTCCCCGCACCGACCTCGATCTAATACCTCGGTCCGACCGTACTGCTCTTTGCCCCCTCCCCACCCAGCAAAATGGGGCTGCTAGATGTCAAAATGAAAGCTCCCGATCTGGCTCGCGCACCCTGTGCACCGCGGCCGCTAGGCCCCAAGGGTCACCGTGCTCAGTGGGTGTCCCGCCTCGCGTCTTCGACGAGTGAGGCCACAAGTGGTCCAGTGCTTCCTGGGGATCATGCCTCGCGTTTTCGGCTGGGGATCGCTCAAAGCGAATGCTTCATTGATGCTCGACGTTGGATCGACCTTCTTTGGAGAAGCCAGCGCAAGACGTGCATTATTAATGCTGCATTATCAATTGCACCCCGAGCCAGATGAATTATGCACGTCCCAGCATCCACCAACTCTCTCAACTTCTGCCCCCCTCCCGCTATGCGGGACGGCCCAGGGGGAGGCGCAGGAGGGGGAGGAGAAGAGAGGGCGCCCAGAATTCCCCTCTGCCCTCTTCGGTGATCTGACCTGGGTCCATCCAGACCCGGGTCAATCAGGCTTTGCAAGATCCGGGAAAACTTTGTAGGATCCAGCAAGATCTGGCGCCCTGGTTGACCTCCGATTGTATTGACCCCGTCTCTTGATCCTCGACCTCTGCTCTCGGCAGCCAGCCCGCGGGGGGGGGGAAGTGAGAGGGGCCAGCCTTCTCAGAAAACTCAGAAACCCCCTGGCCTGATGAGACGTTTCCGGAGACTCCCCCGGAGACACAGAAAGCCTCTCAGAAGGCGCGAGGACTTCTGATAAGTCCCGCCGCTTTCCGAAAAGGCTTTCTCCTTCTCACTGGCCCCCCTTGCTCGCCGCCGAAACTGTGATAGAGGAGCAGGAAACTGCATGAACAGAAACTTTTGGAGCTCTGCGCGGATTTCTTGGATCGGCGCGGGACGGCCAACGCTGGCGCGCGGAGCGCGCCAGGGGCAAACGCCGCCAGGGGGGCCTGGCCCCGAGCCCTCCTCCTCCTCCGCCCTCCTCCTGCTTCCCCCCCCCCGCCTCCCCTCCTCCCGAGGGCGGGCCCAGGTCGACGCCCTGCTCCACCGCGCCCCCCTCGGTACCTCGCCGAGGGGGTACGATGGGAGGCAGGCCCGACTCGGGGGGGAAAAACCCAGCGAGGGCCTCCTCGTCGAGGAGGGAGGACTGAGGAGGAGGAGAAGGGAGGAGAGAGGACTGATGAGGAGGAGGAGAAGGGAGGAGGAGGAGAAGGGAGTAGGAGGAAAGGGAGGGGCGGGAAGGGCAAGCTATGTGCGCTCGCGTCATATCTGACATCCTGCCCCTCCCTCCCATCCCTTACCATGGGGCAGATCCCCTCACTACTCGCACAGTCGGATGTCGAGCAGGGCAATGATCCCGAAAGGGTACGCGATGCATTGTAGAGCACGGCATGGCATGGCGTAGAAGAGCACCGCAAAGCGTAGTATCAACCTAACATTACATTGCATGCCGTGGCATGGCACGGGAAATTACGCCAGCGCTGCAGCGGGAGCACGAGTCGGAACGAGCGGAAGCGCGGATATGAGGCCAGCGCTGCAGCGGGAACACGATTCGGAACGAGCGGAAGCACGGAAATGAGGCCAGCGCTGCAGCGGGAGCACGATTCGGAACGAGCGGGGCCCGAAAATGAGGCCGGAGCAGCATTTTGTGAACAAATGCAGGCGAAAACCCAACTCCGGGGAATCCTGTGTAACAAAACAATACGCGGGGGGGGGGCTAACACTTTCAAGCCGTGAGGGAGAGTAGCCTTCATATTGAGCAATTGTAGAGGGGGGAAGGCCGCGGCCTGCACCTGGATCTCCTCGGGCCCCTCGTGCCGCCGGGTGTTCTGGTAGAAGACGGTGTTGCCCAGCTTCTGGGTCTTCGGCGGGCGGCGCCCTCCGCCCTCCGCACGCCCTCCCGCCTCGCCCTGCCTCCCTGCGCCTCCCTCCTTCCTCCCTCCCCCCTCCTTCCTCCCGCCCGCTGCTGCTGCTCCTCCTCCTCCTCCTCCCCCTGCTCCTCCTCCTCCTGCTCCTCGTCCCTCCGATTCTTCTCCCCCTCCTCCTCCTCCTCCTCCTCCTCCTCCTCCTCCTCCTCCTCCTCCTCCTCCTCCTCCTCCTCCTCAGGTCCGCTACCTGGGGCTCTCCTGCGCGGCGCTAGTGCATACAGCGCGCAGGTAACAATGCCGCCCTCCTCCCCCGCCCTGCCGCCGCTGCTGCCCTCCCCCTCCTCCCCTCCTTCTTGGTGCCGTCCTCCCGTTGCCTCTCTCGCCGCCCTTCTCCCCTTTCCCCTCTCCTCCCCCCCCTCCCCGCCCTCCCTCGCACCCGCGCTGGCCGAGCCAGCAGTGCCCGCCCGACCGCCCGGCGCCCTGTCCCACCCGCGGGGGGATCGGCCCCCTGGCAGTGGGGGGGCGGCGAACCTCGCCCAGCGTCGGGGCAGGCCCCCGAAGGGAGCGCGACGTTCGCCGCGCCTGCCCCTCCGGGGTGACGGGGGAACCTGGAGGCCGGAATTTGCAGCAGGCGCACCCCGGGTGGGCCCATGCCCGCTGCCTCCGCCGCGCTGGCCCGCTGGCTCTCCGGGGTGGCGGCGCTCGCGGCGGGGCGGTCAAAGCCCCGGGGGGCCTTCCGACACTTTGACAGTCCATTTTGACAGTCCCCTCCTCGTTCCTCCCGCCCACTGTTGCTCCTCTTCCTCCTCTTCCTCCTCCTCCTCCTTCTCCTCCTCCTCCTCCTCCTTCTCCTCCTCCTCCTTCTGCTCCTCCTCGTCATCCTCCGATTCTTCTGCCCCTCCTCCTCCATCTCCTCTTCCTCCTCCTCTTCTTCCTCTCCTCCTTTCTCTTTGTTCTTTTCCTCATTCCCCCCCGTCGCCGATCCCCAAGGGAAAGAATCCCAAGAGCGGCGCTCTGCTCGACCTGAGACCGCTAGGAGAAGACTCCCAATCGTGAACGGCCTTGTCGATTATGCTTTCCCAAGACGGTAGCTCAGGCTGCCTGCTGTTGGGAGGGGAGTGTGCAGTGTGGTTGGTGGCTGAGGGGGAAATTCTTCTCCTCCCCGCCCGACGCGTCCGCCTCCGCCCTCACCTGCTCTTCCTCCTCCAACCCTGCCTCGGCCGTCTGCCCTGGGATCGCCCCGTGCTGCGCGTTCTGCCGGGGATGGGCAGGGCCAAACTGGGAGGGAACGAGCGCGTTCTGTAGAAGCTTGGGAAAGGGGGAGGACGAGGATGATGACGTGGATGATGATGCTGATGATGACGATGATGATGATTATGATGCTGCTGATGATGCTGCTGCTGCTGCTGATGTTGATTATGATGATAATGTGCATGATGCTGGTGGTACTATGACGATGATAAGAATGATGATGCTGATGATGATACTGATTATGATGATGCTGCTGATGATGGTGATGGTGGTGGTGATGATGATGAAGAGGAGGAGGAGGCCGAGGAGGAAGAGGGCTCCTCGTTGCAGAGCCGCGCCCTCCGCCCCTCTCCCTCTGCGTCGAAGCGCGCCGCGCCAGGCAGGAGGCCGCGGGAGCGGCGATGCCCGCCCCGAGCAATGGCTGCCGTCCCATCGGGGAGACGTAAGACTCGGGTTCGGGCTCCGAACCCATGTACTCGGACCCCACCTGCACCTGAGAGGCCTAGATAAACGCCCGCACTTGGGGGGCCGAACGCGGCACCAGTCTGACTACCGTGACTTTGCGATTTTGCGGGTGACGAAGGCTGCCCGCGAGCGACTGTCGCATTCTCTCGAGCCACACCGCGCCCCTGAGTCGCGCTCCAAGTTCTGCCGGGGCGACGTGAGACTCGGGTTCGGGGGACTCGGGTTGGCCTAACGGCGCCATCCAGAAAATGACGAGACCCAGTCTGAAATTTGGCGCGAGCTCCTGATGCAGACATCCCAGGAAACCTGGACCGTCAAACTACAGAACCCGCTCGTCAACAAGCGTCAACACACCGAAGGCCCGCCCCTTCTCACCTCGCCCCCCGGCTGGCCGCCGACTCTTCCTTCCGATCCGTTCCGTAGCGGCTTGGAACGTGCCCGCTTGTGGAGGAAATCGTGCACGGGAAAAGGGACAAGTTATGGGACCGTGCTCGGAAGCGGGCGTCGTTCCTCTGGAAGCGCCTCGACAACAGCTCCACTCGAAGGGGTAGGAGAGGTGGAGGGAAGACTTGTGGCTCAGGCCAACTTCAGAGGCCCCCCTGGTCAAGGGAGCAACCGACCGGCAGGCCCGGGCGTCTGCACGATCCAATCCCTGCCCCTTCCTCCCTCTCCCTTCCAAGGGGAACGAAGAATGACATAAGCATGCAAACTCGGAGGTCCACGCGGATTTCTTTGATCCGCGCGGACCTCCGATTTTTTTTTATGTTTATGCCATTACACGTCGAACGGGAGAAGTAGGTAACAACACGAAGTAGGAAGTCGGATTAAGTTGATTGGGTCCAGGCCCCCCCCCCAGAGAATCACAAAACACAGCAAACGCGTGCCGATTCTTGAGGTAGGAAGGCGCTTGAAGTAGATTGGGATCTGGGAATCCAAAAATACCTACTTTCTACGACCGGCGTGTAAATGGGTGAAGGGGGGGTTCAACATGGAGCTCTTTCCTTGGCGGAGCGCAATTTCGCCTTCGTGGTCTGCAGCAGCTGCAGAGCTGAATGCTGGTCGTTGTTCAGTGGGGGGCGATGAATGAAGGGGGGAAGAAATGTGCGTGTCTTTCCCTGCCTCCCCTCAGGGTGTCCCCCGTGCCCGAGAGCTGAGGCGCCCGAGCTCGGAGGCGGTTGCCAGCAGAGGCGCGACGACAAGGCCCGTCGCGGGGATAGCAGCGCCCTACGGGCGAAACCGCGCCGTGCAGTCTGATAGCCACACGAGTATCCACAGAAGTATCCACCTCCTCCTCCTCCTCCTATTCCTTCTCCTCCCCCCCCCCTCCTCGGGATAGAGGCATGATCCCCTCGCCCCTACTCCTCATCCTTCTCTTTATCCTCTCTCCGCATCGTCCTCGCCCTCCTCCTGCTCCTGCTCCTGCTCCTGCTGCTGCTGCTCCTCCTCCATCTGCTCCTAGGGGTTGTACACCCGCGGGGGCTTTAACTGGGTGCCAGGATCTGAAACCTTCCAGGTCACAGGCTGGTCCTCCTCCTCCTCCTCCTCCTCCTCCTCCTCCTCCTCCCTCCTCCTATCTCTCCTCCCTCCACCTCCCCGTCCTCGTCCTCGTCCTCCTCGTCCTCGCCCCATTCCTCGTCCTCGTCCTCGTCCTCGTCCTCCTCCTCTTCGTTCTCCTCCTCCTCCTCCTCCTCCTCCTCCTCCTCCTCCTCCTCCTCCTCTTACTCCTCCCTCCACCTCCTCCTCCTTCCTCTCCGCAGGGGAGTGGGAGGTTCCTTCTTGATGGAGCCGGGCTTGTCTGGGCGGCCAGCAGCGGTCACCACGCGCGTGGCGAAGGACCTGGGCCCATGCCCCGCGAGCCAGGGCCGAAGAGAAACCCCAGAGCCCAGAGACGAGGAGGAGGCGGAGGAGGAGGAGGAGGGGGAGGAGGAGACTGATGATGTGGAAAAGGTAAAAGAGAAAGAGGACCAGTGTAAACCCACGAATGATCGACGCTGTTCGAGTAAACCCTCCCTCCAAGGTCGCTCTTCATGGTTCCCTGCAACGATTCATTTCCTTTCGAAGAACTGCCTCGTTGGAAGGCAACCGCTTGAATACCGCGAAGCGTGCCATCATATTGTTCCCGGGATGTCAACGCCACGGATCAACGTGATTATTTTTTTTAGAAGATCCTGAACCGTGCCAGAAAACCGTTCCTGGGACTTCAACTCCGCGAATCAACGTATTGTTGCGCTCTCATAATCCTGAATCTGTCAAGAATATAATTTTATGGTACGCTTATCATGGGAAACCGCGAAGCTCTTGCGAATTTGTGTAGCGAGTGAGCGCGGCGCTAAGGCGAGACCCACATCTTGAAAACCACCCGCCCCCAATCCGTGAAACTCTTGCACACGTTTAAAACGAAAATGCGCGGCACTAAAACGAAAACCAAACTTTGAAAACCATCAACCTTCAATCCGTGATGCTCTTGCAAATCTTGAAAACGAATGTGCGCGGCGCTGGGGCGAAAACCACATTTTGAGAACCACCCGCCCCCAATCCGTGAACATCTTGCACATGTTTCAAACGAGTGCGCGCGGCACTAAGGCGAGAACCACATCTTGAACACCACCCGCCCTCAAACTGCGAAGCTCTTGCAATCCTTGAAAACGAAGGCGCGCGACGCTAAGGCGAGAGCCATATTTTTGAAATTACCCAGCCTCCATCTTTGAAGCTGTTTCCAATGTTTAAGCTTCGGGGCCGTGGGCGGCGAAGAAACCTCTGGCGAAACGCCCGGCCCGCCCTAAAAACTGGCCACGGGGTGCGACGTGCGACAGGGATATTCACTTATCCGCCGCCGATCCGGCGGGTGAGTTCAACGGGGAATGGGTGACGGTGGTGGCTCTGCCGGGGTGTGTGGGGGGTGGGGGAGGGGTCCGGTGGCGTCGGTTCTGGTGGCGGGGGGGGGGACCCGGTCCCCCGTCCCGCCTGTGGACGGGGGGAGCTGGGAGAAGAGGGGGGGGGGGATCCAGTGGCCGGGGTGGCTCTGCCGGGGTAGGGGAAAGGTGGGGGGGGTTCAGGTGGCGTGGGTTCCCGTGGCGTGGAGGGGGGGATCCGGTCCCCCGTCCCGAATGTGGAAAAAGGGAATCGGGGGAAGAGAGGGGGGGGGTCCGGTGGCGCGGGTCCCGATGGCGTGGGGGAGGGGAAAGGGGGGCTGCGTGGCGCGTGAGTTTCAAAGAGCCTCAGCTACCAGTCTCGAAGTTGAGCTTCAGCCTCTGGGGGGGTTGCCGGGGTGGCTCTTGTCGGGGAAGGGGAGGAGGGTGTGTGTGCGCGTGTGCGAGGGGTAATGTTTGTCAGTGTAAGCAAACATGGAATCGGGGAAAGAAGGACAGAATAGTGGAACGGGACAAGTGTGGATAATGGGGAACAGCTGGGGGGAAAACGATAGTGGCGGTGAAATGCGTGTCTGCTGTGTGGTGTGTGTGTGTGTGTTTGTACGGTGTGCGTGGTGTGTGTGTGTGTATGTGTGTGTGCGTGTTGCCGGCGTGTGCGTGTGTATGTGCCTGCGAAGGTGGCGCGCGTGTGTGTGTGTGTGGTGTGTGGGTGTGTATAATGTGCGTGTGTGCGTGTGTGTATATGTAAGTGAATGTGTGTGTGTGTGTGTGTGTGTGTTTGTGTTTGTGTGTGTGCGTGTGTGCCCGTAATGTCTGCGAGCGTGTGCGCGCGTGTCTGTCGGCGAAGTGTCGCCGCCCAGTCCGGTGGCACCCTAAGCGACCCGGATCGGCGGCACTGGCCGAAGGCCACTACAATAAGAAATAAGACCGGAGGAGGTGGAGGAAGAGGGGGAAAAATGTAGAGTAATAAGGGGAGGAAAAGGAGGAAGCAACACTGACCGCGAGGGGAGGCAAACGGACAAGAAGCGAACAAAGGGCCGAACAGAAGCGGACACGAAACACAATGGGAAGACAGAAACCCGTGGTCCTTCCGTCAATCACCTGCCTGGCAAGAATGAACCATTGCTCGCGCACGGACACGGAGGATACTGGCCGAGGGAGGGTAGCAATGGCGGCGCGCATTAACGGTGGACAGAAGCACATGTAACGCAAAGCGCATACTGGCTATCTGAGCCGTCTGGAGGCTTCCCCGAGCTCCAAAGGCATAGCAAAGCGCAGCATCCACAGAGTCCCAAAGGGGCGGAAGAAGGGGAAGGAGGCCCACCACACCAGGAACAAATCGAATACATCTGAGCTAATACAGCATCTTATCATCACCGTCAACGCCACAGCACCTGCATCGTTCAGTCGGGGTAGAATACCTGCCAATGACATTCCAGTTATGTAAAACAGTTTTGACGATCAAGGCCAGGACGCAAGGCGGCATGATCCTCGCAGCAACGTTCGACCGAGTCCCAATCAAGAAAACTTGTTGGTTCGAAAGCTTGTTGGCATACTTCCTAAGGCGCGCCCCCAAGAAGTCATTCAAGGAACAGCTGCGGAAGGACTCCAAGGCGGCGTGAGTTTTGGCCTGCTGACGTGGTGCAGCTTCTTCCTTCGGCACGCCAGAAACACTCATGACCTGGTCCTCGACCCTCTTGGGGTGCTCGAAGATCGAGCGATGAAAAATATTACAGTGCGTGTATGCAATCTCCCCCTCCATCCAGTACCTCGACCTCCCATATGCTCGGTTGCGTTGAGTAGGTCGATCGGCAGCACCACGGCAGTATATCGTAAGATCCCTCACCTCCTGTTTACATCCCACAACACGAGGATTGCGCATCTGCTGGTGCGGCGTGCTATCGAACGGCCAAGCACACATCAGCTGGGTGGCTTGATACTCCGCCCTCAACGCCCCTGGACTGCGAGCGCACAGCGGACCAACATATCCCATGACGGGAACTACAAAAAGAGCGCACGCCAGCATATCACCAGCCAAGCTCTGCCCCATCCCACGGATCTGTCGGGCCCTCTCGCGGCGTTAGCCAAGATCCCCGTCAGCCCGAATCCAGGTGCAGAGGTACTTTGCTTTGTTGGACATCTTGTACTCCCGTGCATGGAGGCCAGCAGACTCGAATTCACGGTGTGCGCTATCCGCATCGACGCGGCCAAGAAACAATCATCTTCCCTGCGTGCGCCCCAAGGCCAAAATCCAAACACATCTGGTGACGGCCCTGTTCAAACACGGCAACGACTCAAACCCCATTGTTCCTCCATGAAATGGAATCGATGGTGGCGCCGAATGACAATCGGTGAACTAGCACTGCCGAATCCGGCGCCCAAGAAATCACCCAGTCCAGGGGGCGACATGCAGTCAGAGGCGCAGCCCGCGCACGCTGCGCATTTCCCTGCAAGTCGACGCGCAGGGGGGGCGCACAAAACATGAAACAAAGGATGGGGGAGAGGGAGGAGGAGGAGGAGGAGGAGGAGGAGGAGGAGGAGGAGAGGAGGAGGAGGAGGAGGAGGAGGAGGAGGAGGAGGAGGAGGAGGAGGAGGAGGGGTGCACGGGGCCAGATAAGGCAAAGAATTAGGCCGACCAGACCCTAATTCACCACCTCGCAGGCCCCCCCCCCCGTCCCCGCAAGAGAAAAGCAAGCGAGAGGGCGCGCCTGGCAGTTGGCCGCGGGCGAGCAGCGGCTGCTCGCGAGAATGCCGCACTACCTCCTTCTGTGCCCTTTGTGCAATTATATGCACCATGAAGGGTGTCTGTATATGTAGTTATATATATACATATATATATATATATATGTATATAAACACATGGCTAGAGGGAGAATCTGATCGGAAGAGCAAAGGCGCGCGGGTAAATGCACGAAAAATTCAGACCAGTCTCGACCGCATTGGGTAAGAAAGGGAGATGGGCTCTAAGGGGGCGGGCAATGCACTCACAACAGTTTGTCCTGGTCAGGCTCGCACCAAAAGAGGCACTCTTCAATGGGCCCTCTAAATCTACCTGTCGCACGCCGCGAGTAGCCGACCGTTTTCAGGCAGGGGGGGGGCGAGGGAGGGAGGGGCAAGGTCAGCAACCCGAATCAGGAACATCAAGACTTGATCTGCATCTGCTCGGGTGGTCAGCGGGCAGAAATGACAAAAAAACCGTCGAAAAGGAACTGGTGGGGGGAATATTTCCTACTGCGCAGAAGGGCGCGCTCAGCTTTACGTTGGAAACGGGGATCTCCACATTCGGGGGCGCGCGGGATCTGGTTCGTGAATGCATACTTATTCCGCATCGGTGCAGTGATGCTTTTCTGCCACCGGGGGTTCGATGCATGCGTGATCTGACACGCGTCCGAGTCGGCAAAATGCGATAAACGCTCCACGGCCTGATGGAATGCGCGAGATGTCGCGCCAGCCCGGCTCAAGCGGCAGATCCGAACTCTCGAGCTCGAATATTATAGCCGAGGGTCTTCAGGTTGCGGATCAAATCGGAAGGGATGGCATTTCGAGGTCCATTGGGGAGGATCTGAAGGGACTTGCCTTCGACAGCGAGGGCAAAGGCGGAGGGGAAGTAGAACTGGGAGGCGTGGGAGAAGACGGCGATGGCATATATGTTGCATCGGGCGATAGATTTGAGAAGGCCAAGCCCGAACCCGTGAACACCGCGACTCCGCTCGAGACACTTGGCGGCGGGGCCGATCCAGCTTTCCCGAGAGCCCCCCGGTCCGACAACGATGCCCAGATACTCGGCGGCGCGCTTAAAGATACACCCGCCCTGCGGGATGCCGCGCTTCCGAAGACAGAGAGAGAACTCGTCATCCGTCATCGGGCGAACCGAGACTATGATGGTTTTGGCGGCGTTCATGTGCAGACCAGCAGCGCGGGCGGCCAGCTCCCACGCAGGCAGCGCAGGAACCAAGGTAGCAAAGA